TGGATGGATGGATGGATGGATGGATGGATGGATGGATGGATGGATGGATGGATGGATGGATGGATGGATGGATGGATGGATGGATGGATGGATGGACTGACAACACAAAACTAATGAACCACAATAGCTGAAGCCCACCATCCAGGGTTAAATTAAAAAAATCACCAGTTTTCTGATGAGCAGAGGTGAACCCAGTATATAAAACATAACAAGAGGGTCAATGTTTGTGTTTTAAAGTTCAGTCTGATGTCTGACAAACTGTTGAATTCAGGTGTTAAATAAGGTCCACCTGTGTGTGAACAGCACCGATACTCAGGTAGTCAGTAAGATCTTTATTTTATATTTCCACTTTGAGGAATGTTATCCAGGTCTGTTCTGTCTTTTATTTCAGAAAGATTGGTTCAAATCAAGAAAAAAAATACTTTAATAAAAATGATTTAGATTTGCTCAAACTTTCTGTTTGACACATGACCTGTAGGACACACTTTATATCTTTACCTGTAGACAGATCTGTAATGACCTAGCTTACAGCCACTCGACTAACGGGGGGGGGGGGGGGTCTCTGATTCTGTAATGTTGTTGTTCATTTAAGACATCTGTATTTTGTTTTTTCTTTGTTTTTGAACCAAATTGTGACCCCAAAACTGAAGTACACACGAAACCACAATTTGCGTGTATCACTTTGACTCCCACAAGTACAATCTCACTGGTCTAGCTCAGTAAATGGCAAACTGAAGAGGACAGGTGTGAATAAGAAGCATGCATCACAGTGTGTCATGTTTGGTGCTGAAATCTTGTTTAAATCACAGTAAATATAGCATCAACTCAGAGACAAAGATGATTTATGAAAGAGATGGCAGAGGGTCAAACTGTAACAGGACAAGCAGCAGCAAAAATTTAAATCCTGTTTTGTTAACAGCTTGGTACAGAAAGCTTGAAGCATTTACAAATCTGATTTTTATGTCATTTTCATCTGAACCCTGACCTGTCTTATACTATCAACAACCATTCTTTAAAACCTTCTTTTATTTGATCTACTATTTAGTGATAATGAAAACTTTTATTGTTGTTTGGCACATTTAGATGATGATGATGATGAGGTATCTCAGAAAGGAGGGATTGAAATGTATTTTGAGTTGAGACAACTGGTCACACTTTGGATTTTTATAATCAAACTAGAAGGTCTGAATTAGTTTAATGAATGTGGTTTGTAATATTCCCTGACAAATCAGAATAATTTGGTAATAACATTAAGACGCAGGCTTCTTTCAACTTGATCTGATGTTTGCATATTCACAGAATGAAAGGTGTCTGACTAATGGGATCAACATATTTTTTATGTATTTATTTTATTTACTAAAAGAAACAAAACATAAACATACATTAAAACCAAAGTATTTCAAACACTGAATGAAAAGGCTGAATAAAGAAGAAAAAAATCTTGTGCATTCCCCTTTTTAAAAAAATAACACAAACAACTTAAAGTGCCTATGACATCTTTTTTATAATAAAGTGCCTATGACATCTTTTTTTATAATAAATATGAATGCATTTTTGGAAAGATACCATTGATAACATATTGTAAGAAAAATATTTCACACTGCTGAGATAAACAGTTGTTGAGATATTTGTATGTGAAGTAACAGGAAATGACTGCATGTAACCATAGCATTTCTAAAATGGAAAACAAAACATGGACTGTAGAGAAGAATCTGATGTTTCTTTATATAATTTTAATCACTATCATAGAGATGAGAAAGAGTTATAGTTCAAATAATATTGTTTAGATAAACAAAAAACAGGAAGTTTTATTTCTCAAAGAATTCCCCTTTGATGTCACTTCCTGTTTCCCTTTAGCTGAGCAAAATTCAAAAGAAAATATGCCAATTACTGTATGTGACATAATGGATAAAATAATGTGTATTATTCTGTTTCTTAAATACAAATGTATTTTCTTAGACTTTTTGTATTTCATGGATATGCGTGTCACAGGCACTTT